TTAAAATTACAAATTATTATTATTAAAACATATATAGATAAACATTTTTTTTTAATTACAAATTTTTTATATCGCATATTTCCGATATCATAACTATTATAATTTTATTGAATTAGAAAATGTACATGCTAAATTTAAAATGTGATCACGGGCTGCATTTTATGACAGGGTGGGCCGTGGGTTGAAGATCTAGCTTAACCTATGTTATTACTATAAAGCAATTGTATAATTGTATATTTTTAGTATATTTATGTAGAAATAAGAAAATATGAAAAAAAAAATTTAATTTTATGAGTAGGTATGTCCAGTTTGTGGGTATTAAAGTAGAAATTCAAAAGAGGCAAAATTACTTRTGACTTTTTTATCGCTAAAAATGTCTAATACTAGAATTTAAAAATAAATTAATACCTAGAAAATAACAGTTTTAAATATTATAAAATACCTACAACAATTTTCCCACACTTGAAATAATAGTTTTTTTTTTAATTCATGCAAATTCATTTTGGTTTTAAACATAGTTGATTTATAACGAACATGTTCAGTGGGGCCCTTTATCTTTTTTGAATATATTTTTCTAATTGGTGTTCATTTTTTGGCAATTAATTTTTATGCAATTTTATTAGATTCCACAAATATAATGCTTACAGCATTTAAGTAGTTGCCGATAAATAACACAAGCGACAAGAATTGTTTGAACGGCTGATTTTTTATCAGGTCATCGCACATTTCTTTTATGCTTTCCAGTTGACCGTGTATTTCCGATATTATGAAAGGCAGTTCTTCTTTCTAAAAAAAAATAAAATGCAGATCTTTAAAAATGTATTCAAAGCAGTATAATAATGTTTGTTGTGCACGAATCGTCGGTAGAATTATGTTACTGTAACGTACTTCGATCATAAGTTTTATTCTTAACTGGTAGTTGGGTATGCTATTGAGTTGTAGACAAAACAGCTCGGCCGATCCGATAATAGACTGATTAGTGTCTTTTTTCTTTATCAATTTTATCTAAAAATTCAAAACCAGTAAAATACTATGTTAATAAATAATGCTAATCGAATCGACTGAATTATCGTAGTTACTTCTTCGTCTGTGGGCAAAACCCGTTGAAGGCCTTTTAGTTTTTCAAGAGGAATTGACGTCCCATTTTGGAGCGCTTCTAAGATTTCGTCTGAACCGGATTTAAACTGTTTCAGCATTATGTTAATCGCTAAACTCCGATTATTGTCTAATATATTCACAACGTTTGCTTTGGAAACACCGTTAGGTGACAAAACTGCTGGTGAAGATTTTGCTCTGGGTTTTTGACAAAAAAGTTCGTCAATTTTTCTGAAGTTTATATTTAAATTAGGAGGGTCCGCTGACGACCAAATGGAGTTGTCTGTAAACACAAAAAAAAATTAAATAGTTAAATATGAATCGTTTAAATAAAACTGTTTCTACTTTACCCAAATATTGGTTGTTGACCTTGGTCCAGTTCAAAGTCTTCATTTTGGTTTTTGGTAATGAGTAGTATTTAATATTGTTATTCGTTCTTCTTGTAGGTACTGTCCGATGACCATCAGTAATACCAAGTCCCAACAATTCCATTGACGATGACAATGTTGTTAATGATTGAGTAGCTTTTCCAGGTACCATAAGTAGTTCTGAAGACTTCAATCCTGATATAGGAGGAGAAGGTGGTAGAGGTGCCAATGTTGGTAAAGGAGGTGGTGGAGGAGGTGTCATTCCAGGCAAAGGAGGTGGTGGGGGTKCCATGAATGGTAAAGGAGGAGGTGGTGGTGGTGGTGGTAGTGATTGTGGTGATATTCCAGTTGATGGAAGAGGTGGCGGAGGAGGAATTATAGGTGATGAAGATGGTGATGGCAGCGGCGGTGGGCGTGGAATTCGCGCTGAAATTGGAAATGGTGGAGGAGTTGGAATTCCTGAAAGATTTGACAGAAGTGGCGGAGGTGGTATTACTGAGCTTTCACATGATAATTCCAGCGATTTACAAGTATCTCTTTTTACACAGTTAACGTCTAATAAATTTGGACGGTTATTATTCAGCTCGGGATTACTGTCAACTACAGTAAGTCCAATACCGTCACAACAACACGCACGGTCGGTCTGAGTAAATATAGAACATTGAATAGGATTTTTAATATGGCGCCGGTTCGAATTAGTGTGTTCACCTAATTTGCTGACGACTGGAAGTGCGGGCAGTGATGGTCTTTTAAGTTTAATAGTGGTTCGCTTATCTTTTGGTATATTTAAGCTGCAACGTCGGGCATTCGGAGATAAACCTTTATTAAGTCTTTTCTCGTCAGTTTGAGACCCGGTAGAATGTGTTTTTGAAGTTTTCCGATATATATCCAATATTGCTTGTGGATCATTACAGATGACTTCGTTGATCAAATTCCAAATGTCATTACTGAAAAATAATTACGATTTATTTTGTTAATATTTCGTTGTGCCTATCTATTTTGTTTATCAACCTTGTCAACAAATTTAAATACCAARKTATTTAACTATTATAAATTAATAAAAAGTATTAATACATCTTAAAACTATCAATATTGTAAATAATATGATTTTAAATATTTACATTTTTGTATCGCTGTAATCCATTTCAGCCATTTGCATTAAAATGTTTTGCAAATACGAGTCGTATAATGTATTTGATATCTATTGAATGAACAAAAAATTAGTCAATCGAAACAATATAATAATAACACGACCGGTACTTAAATATTATTTTATTATATTATATTATATTTTTATATTATTATAAATATTATGTATCATTTAAAATTAATACATTTTCACCATTGAGTTTATCAATACTAGTTTGTTAAGATAAAATATTCCTGATCTTAAATGAATTACAAATTAAATATTAAAACAATAATTGTTAGCAGTGAAAATCATTTATTGTAAACGATTAATTATTTTCAAATTTACCTATTTCATTAAGTATAAAATATATATATATACAATTATTTTAAAGTATATTATATTTATTCATATATGTAAGTACTTATATTTATAGATTCAATCAATATAGATCCAATTATTTTTATAAAATTTTGATACAACTAATCTGACTGCTTTTGAACTGCAGACTAAAAGAAATCTAAATTTTATACTACCTCTTAGAGAGGACTGTTCAAATACACACCACCTCACTTAAGTGTGTGTAATTTAAATTAATATATCCTTTCTACAAAAACCTATCACTATTTTATTATTAAAAAAAATACGATGTGTCCGGTATAACTATTATTATTGTTATTAATAGTTTGTTGTGTATTGAAATTGTGATATTCTATATCGACAAAAAAACTCCAACAAATGTTATAATTCATTCAAAATATCATCTTCTCCAATATGCATATTATATTTTATTGTAATGTAACAAAAGTCCGTTCCTATGTTAAAAAATTAAGTTAAATTATTTTATTTAGTAAAATTATACACGTCATACAGTTTGGACATACCCTTTGAAGAGGTGGTATGCAATTTGAACAGAACCTTCCAAGAGATGGCATGCAATTATTTAGATATTTCAATTCATTTTTTTTTTTTTAATGTAATCGGATCACTAACCGGATTTTTATAAACTTTATTCGTCAGTTGATCAGGGATATTTTGCTAAATATATATAGATAATAGGTTTATAATCTAAAAAGACGAGTAGGTAGAAAGACTGTAATTTTACCTTAGACCGTAACTCATTTAATAGCTGTTGATGTGATTTCTGAGGAAATTGATTTTCGTCGGCCAACTGATGCTCTTCGAACACGGTGATTTGTATTTGTAATGCGTCATCTTCGTAACCCTCCATATTATCGATAGCCGTCCGTAGTCCAAGAGCTATAATACACATTCATATTATTTGAACAATATTGGTATATGAATATAGTATATGATAGTAAATGAACAGAAAAGAGAAGATCGAACAAAATAGGTGTACCTTAATCCATAAATATAACAGCATTGTAAAGTATTAGAATACAGAATAAATTATTCGATAAAAATATTGAGTAAAGTTTAATAAATAATTCCGAATTTCAAATATAATATTATATGTGTTGAATATTAAGAAATTTGTACTTAAATAGTTATTCAAATTATGCTTTTGATTGATTTAATTTTTATTTACTGCCCACTTATCACTCGCGGCATGATTCGTGAATAATAATTATTATGTATACCACCTACATAATATGTTATAATTTATATTATATTACAATGTTATTAAATATTGTAATATTTAAATTTAAAAGTTTGGTTTCAATTTCATATTAAAACTTATTTCATAGTAGGCATTTCAGTGTTTACACGCAATGTACGATAAGCATTGCTGTATAAAACATATCAACACGTAAAATGCATTTCAAAAGTATTCTTCAACATGCGGCGCGTTTTAAAAAGATAATCCCCATTATTCATTACTTAATAATATATTTCACGCACCGATCAATTCATTTCTGACGCACGTTCTCCTTCTAGGATTCTGTTCGACGAGTATCAAACAGTTGACGAAAGCCAACAGTGTCGTTTGATAAGCGAACGTATCCGCCAGCTGCAGTTCCATCACTACGATTTCGTAATCGTGTCGCAACTCTTGTTTCATCTGTACACAGAGTATAAAACCGTACGTGTCGTTAAACTGTCRCCAAAACGCTATTACATCCCATTGGTACAATATTAATGTACCTAGATACCTGATTATTATGATTTATGTTCATCAAACCTTACCTTAATGTGTGACAAAACAGACTTGACGAAAACCATTCCGTCCGAGGAGAACACGCACAACGCGCACAACAATTCGTACACTTGAAGCTTTATAGTTGTATTATTGCATACAAGTACTGCTAAAAATTAAAATATAGCAACACATCATTATTCGTCCATTGTTAGTGATAAATATCATTTATAATATAGATGATCGTGTAATGACGACCTATAAGTATATTTATAATTTATATATTATTATAGTRCTTAAATTATCTAGTACATAATCATGTAAATTATCACGTATCCGGATTATTATTTGTTGAAAACGAATTTCATTCGATCGCAATACGACTACCTACTCGTTGCGAATTCATGCGTTCACGTCCATTTGCWTWAAGTATACCTAAACACGACAATACGTATCATAATCGTATCATTTAGATTGTCTACGTCGTCTATACAATGATTAAATAATTTCATTTAATATTATGCAAACAAATATTTTCGTACACGGGACAAAGGTCGTCACAGCAATCGAAAACAGGATCGTCATTAGTATGCACGCATCATTTATAAAGGAAACTCACTCTAAAATATAGCAGTCATATTATATAATATTGCGAATAATAAATTAAATTGTGTTATCATCCATAATAATGTACTCTAAACCATTGTTGAGTACAATAATATTTCCCTCTATACGTTAATAAATTAAACACTTATAGTAGGATTTATAAAATAAAATGAAAGATAAATGAAATAACGGTGTATTATATGTATAGGTAGTTTATACATTGTAACAAGCTCACTTGTAGAGAGTAATCGAAATTGACTAAAAATATGTAGAGACCMGGGAGTTTTAAATCGAGTATTAAAAAATAACGAAGATCAAAGTTTTCGTGAGTGCAGCAGCAGCGTTTAAGATCGCATGGTGTATGAAAAAACTAAGAAAAACATTCTTAGCCTCTGCTAATTAATATAATTTATGAGARAGTTAAAATAAATAAATAGCGTGAAACTGATTCCTCGTATAATGTAGCACGTCTGTCTAAAAATGAAGTGAAAAAAATAATATTATCAATTATAGCCGTTATAGGTTGTCGATTATATTTACATGGCATGTTTATATCATTCTACACGCATTCATATCTTTTTAAAAATGTACATTATTATTTTTAGGTAATAATATAAGTACAATGGTAACATTGGTAACTAGTAATTGAACTTTTAAAATATGAATACAAATCAATGTTTGATTTTTTTAAGAAACACGAAAACAACAATGCAATCTTGTTTCGTTTCCAAGATAAATCGAAAAATATTATGAATTCTAAATTGATGATCTCTATATTATTTAATATTAACCATTTTTCAAAATTATATTTCAAAAATATTAAATAGACCAAATTTGTTGAGGAGAACAATTATGGATGAAACACACTGTATTAGGTATAATACAATATGTTACCGTGATTGTTCCATCACTAACTTTATTCATTTTTAATATGATTTTATCAACTTAATACACTCAAATTGCTATAATTTTTTTTTTGCATTTGCTTTAACTCCAAATCCAAAAATTAAATCTGCGTTTTTTCATATTTATTACAAAGTTTATCAATCAAGTAATGTTTCTATATTATTATGTACGTGTTAGGAAAATKTAATTATTTTACTSATTTCATTGAACATTTAAAACAGTTCAAATAAATTTARTAATTTGATGAATAGAAAATATAAATGAAAATGCCATATATTAAAATAAATTAAAAGTGAAGACGAACCTGAAGCCAAGTACGAAGAATATTCCAAATGAGTTGATATGTATTKCAATCCGGTCCGAGACCTGACGACAGCTCGCAGGCATTCGACGCATTGCAACTGGTCCATTGTGTCCGTGAGTGATTTTCCGCCTGTCGCGCCCAAGCTGCTCAATAGCGTGCCCAAGCCATCTCTCTGCAGGAACTCTTCGATCCATTTCCTGTGACGCAGAAAAACAAACCACAATTTATTGATTTCTTTGCTTGTAAACGATCAAATAATGCGTCTAACGTTGTAATTATGTAGCAATGGTGGATAATCATAAATGGCGACGATATGGAGAATTTCACAAGAGATTATTTGATTTATTTGATATGTATATTATAATATAATATACGGAGGCCCAACATTACAGTTACATAATATACGATACAATTTAAGGTGGGTTACAAGTACAACGGTAATGTGTGGTGGATCGAGAGTAGTATGGACAGTATGGTCGAGATCTAGTAAGCCTTTGAGAACTAAACAAATTTCTATATTTATTTATACATGGCGTTYAGTTCACGGATTTATCATGATAACATGTAATATTATGACATCGGCGTTTAAATTTAATAATATAAAAAATATTTTCAATAATCTGACGGAGGAAGAACAAAAAAATATTAACATTAATATGCCTAACTCACAAACAACGACATTTCAAATCAATTATTTTTGAAAGAAACAGAAATGTATTTTGAACAAGATATAATCTAAAGATCACAACAGAATCCGGTGTAATTTGTAAAACTATAAACATAATACACTATATATAATATGCTACATTATAATAATATGATTTATTGCGGTCAAAGTAGATTTTTATAATAATAATAATACACGTAATTTACATAAATTATACACGTGATGTCCCATTGAGTAAGAATGGGCATCGTTTAATTTGGAATACGCATAGTCTTCATATTGTAAAAGAATTTAAATATTACACGGTAAACAATTTATTTACCGAAACCATAACATAATAGGTAGCTAAAAATAGCATTACATTTTCAATAAATTTAAATAGCTATGTTTGTAGATGAAATACGTTAAAAATAATGGAATTTGTGATGTGTTTACGTGTAGGTAAACAGATTATACAACCGGAACGATTTGACATAGAATACTACATCATGACGTTATTCAACCGTTATGTTACTATGGTATGTACTTGCCACCGGCTAACTTCAATCTCGTRCATACATTAGTCATATAATAATGCATATAACATAAGTGATAAGTATATAATATAACATRATTATTGTGGCGAACAAATTATCATAAAATACACACCGTAGGTAATTTTGATGTTGTAACAGAATTTTTGTTGACCAAATGATAAGAAATTCAATGATATCCGAGTATGTATTATTATAATATTGTACGTCTTCAAAATAACCTTGATGGTCCACTATCAAAATAAATTATCGTCTGGTATGGGACGCTATATATACAAAAGAATTCATATGAGATAATTTAAGTTAGTAATCTTTGAAATCGGATGTACACCACCATAGTGTGTAATGTGTATTCGATGCTGAGAATATTAAATTCCATAACATCTATAAACAACTTGACGTGTATTATTATTATTATTATGGTATATAAATGGTCTCGACAACAGTCATAGTCCACATGCACATTTTTTGGGCTCGTTTATAATAATAATTATTATTATTGTTATTTTTTATTAGCATTCACATTCGAGGGCTTAAACAAATTACGTATACATGAAATAATATATATAATAATATGCGTGTTGACATAATTTTCGATTTTCACACCAACGGCAAACTAATATTTTTATTATTATTATTTTTTTTTTTATTTGTTACCATTTATTTGTTTAGATTTAAATCTATTTTATCGTTTTATAGCCTCTGAATTGTTGATTTAAATAATCGTCTAATCCGTTTAACAAATATAATAACAATATAATAAAACAAAATATGCATGAGAAAAATACAGTATACAAAAACGAACCATAAATAGTTTTTTTTTTAAATGAGTATTGTTGTGAAAAAATTGACTACACAATCCAAAAGCATTCATTGAGAAGCATCGGCGAATTCAATGAAAACTGAGTTGACATTATTTTAATTGTATTATGTATATTGTTATATATTTTTTTTTTTTTTACATAAAAAGTTTTTGTGACAATAGTGCATTCTTATGTTAATTCTCRGGAAGACGCATAATATAATATCATAACGCCCGTCGGTGGCGTGTACGATTACATAGTTCGGTACGTGTTGTATTAGCGCGAGTTTAAAACAAACACCCTGGAGAATTTTCCGTGTCGACAAAAATTCGAAACGATTCCGGCAACGATGATATTACATGATAATTACAATRTAACTACSATGATAGTGCGACATACAGGGTGTTACTGGATTTTCCTTTAATGTTTGAGAATGATCACATGTTAGTGCGAGTGGAATTGTAAACCTAAACATATATTACGTATTGAGAATGCGGGACCTTTAGAGGCACCTACTTTCAGGCTACCTACTTATAATACACATACGAGTATGTTAGATTTAATTATATTATTTGTGAGTCCATAAATTGTTATATTAATGAGTTATATATTCATATTATTTATAATTTACTATATTAATGGATGTTCCAAAATACATTTTTCCCCTCAAAACCCTTATTTTTAACAAGTCACAAGATTTTCATAMATGGCGTTCGTCATCAAAGAATCTCAAATCACACMGTGAGACATAAATTAGATAATTAAATAATATTCATTTAGACCACCACAGCTAATCTGTGCAGTAATTAAAATAATAATATATTTAACATTGTTCAACCATCATTGAGGCGTCAATGTTTTAAGTGTTCAAAAGTTAAATCATATTTATAATAATATTATTAAATATTTTACAAATACAAAATAAATTACATTGATATGTTTTTCACTTGCGCACTGCAGTTATAGATTRTGCATTATACGTGAAAGTGTGGAACAGTCCAATTATTAATTATATAATTTAATTTTAACTTCTATGTTATTTTATGTATAAACGGAAGTTGACTTATCAAATAATTATAAGATTAGGTATATGTAGCTTTAAACAATTCTTAAAATCTTGGTTTTATTCGATTCAAAAACAGTTTTAAATTTTTAAATTTATTTTGTTTATACTCGTGAATATTATTTTTATTTTTTATTTTGTTGTGGGAGGATGGATTGATCAAAATATGTTCCCAGCGTTTAGTTCTCTTAACTCATTGAATTATTTTGATTAGATAGGCATTAATTTTAAGATGAATTTTCATGATCTATATAATTTATTTAATATWATTTTATCTTATGGTTAAAAACATTTAAAATACTTATCATAATTAATAATAGTACGTATACACAATATACATATTATATTATTCCTTTTAGAAAATAATCACGTAACTATAACTTGAATTTGTTTTTTAGATTCTTTTATCTACGACCGGACCCTGGAATAATAGCATCATGAACAGTGTACAGTCGATAAAATCATAATAATAACAATAAAATTTGACTGCTCGCTCACTGCGCGGGTCTCCGCGGACAGCTCCTCATAAATCGGATTTGTTTTTAACGTCGCGCGGCTATAATAGGTACACCGTTTACGTCACGTCTTGGTCTTATATTATTATTATGTATGATACAAATTTCATCTTCGTTCCTGTACACGATATAATAATATTATTATAAGCACGTGGTTATTCCTAGAATAATCCTCTGCCGGCAATAAATATAGCTCATCTGAGACCCGTCACTTTTAAAATTCCAGTCTAGTTTCAATTACATAATCGTCACGGGATAATGTGTATACCACCTCCACACCCGTCTCTTGTATATCAGATATACATATGCATTATCATAATAGTAATAGGCAATAGTGCTAGAGTTAAACGGCGTGCAATATATCTAATAATATGGTGTGTAATGGCCGTCCACCGGAGTAGCGTTTGAAGTTCACGAACTCGTTTTTATGCTCTTATAATGTTATTATTATAATATTCATTTTGCTCGTCATCGTAATACTATAATATAATGTTATTGGCCATTACTGAACGCGTTTTATGTTAATGACATTCCGGAAACGTAATTCGACGGTGTTACGACAACGAAACTGTCACAGGCCTTTTTAAATACAATGTTTATATTATCCGCGTCATCGTCTTTATTTATTTCACTCATCAGCATCGAGCTCTCACTCTCTGTCTCTGTCTAACATCATATTATATTGTAATATCGTATTTTGTACAAATACTACCTATTAAAAGTGTACACACACGGAATAATCGTTTGGCCTGCGACTGCGGTGACTAAAGCGAACCAATTGTATTTCAATTTAATTTAATTCGTTAAGCCCTGTTCTGTCGCCGGRCGATTTTTCTAAACGGACATTTTCAATTTCTGATCGTCACCACTCCCCGCCGTCTTATTTGTTCCAATTGAAACGACACACACAAATCAAAATATAAATTATCGTACAATTATTATTTCATCTTGTCAYGGGCTAACAAAGACCATTGCATTTGATTTATAGGGTTTATATACATATGTTCAATTGTTGACGAACGCAAGCATAAGGGATATTTATTGGATTAGGTGCGTGGTTTGATTGTTGCGTTCGACTTGATAAGTATAAAAAAAATTTCACAGGAAATAATATTCGAGAACATATAAATCTGGACTTGAAAAACAATGTTTTGAAATATGAATTAACATTCATATTATAGAATATTATAACACCTTTTGGGATAATTAGTTCAATTCRCCTTGCGAAACCGCAAATTTACCGATTTTTCCTAAGTTAACTTTRAAAAATATTCTGATCGTTAATAATCGTAGATGTCCATATATCACATAACCTAATGATTATATTACCTAGGTATATACTATACAACTATTAATGAAAACTATCCTTACCCCATAGCTAAATTATATACATTTAAATATAAACCTATAATATTCTTATATGTAATAAAACAGAAATATTAAGACGATAAAAATAAAATACTAACGATACTTTTATATAATTATATAAATATATATATAATTATATTAAATACATAATAAATATTATATACACGAGCGACATAATATTTTTATTGTGATGCACTTTGAATTACTGAAAAATAAAACGTAAAATAAATAKTAATAAATGTTATTTT